TGTGTGCGTGTGTTTGTAGGTGTGGGTGTGGGTTTATCTGTGTAAATATATTGTGTATGTAAATATTAAGTTTAGCCAATAATTTTCATACAGTTTCAAATAATTTTCCACCTAATAATGCACGTGATCAATTAGTTATCCGGAAATTATGTCTTCAAAACTTATATCATAACAATAGTGATATTTGATCAGTTCATATAATATTCAAATGAAAACAAATTTACGTCGCTGAGAGTTCGGTATTTATCCAATAAATAAAACAGAAATGCAAACACATGTAACATCTTTGCACTATGAATGACGATCTGATAAATCCACCACTGTTAGATATGGTCCTCTCAGAGCCGACCAAGTCACATGGGGAGTGGAAATCCGGAAGGGACGGGCAAGGAGAGCGATTGTTTAGGAAACAAGTTCTAAGAGTGCTGAGTTGTAGAGATGGAGAATGTTGGGTATATAAGTCGTCGCCTGTAAAGGGGAAATATCAGTTCAACATGAAGACCTTGGTAAGAAAGGATTATTCGTTATGTTTTAAGTTAGAGAAGAACCAATGCAAGTTTAATAGGAAATAGTTGCATATCCTGAAACAAAAGTATTTAACATATAAGACAAGTTCATTCTTTACTGTAAATGACCATTTCGTCATATGTTCTTGTATTAACGTAGTTACCGAATTTTGCAGGTTTTAATTGGTACAGTTCTAGCCACGGTATGGGCTGACCTTCCACGCTATGGAGGGTTTGGAGGAAGAGGATCAGGCTCTGGTTTTGGAGGAGGTTCGGGCTCGGCTTTTGGAAGTGGAGGCTCAGGGTTTGGAATAAGTTCCGGCTCAAGATTTGGAGGCTCTGGCTTTGGAGGATCTGGCTTTGGAGGAGGAGGTTTCGTCTCAGGAGGATGCGGTTCAGGACAAGTGTTCCATGCTGGTAGATGTGTTACTCCACGCGAGAACCGCAAAGTCTACTTGTACAACGCACCGCCTGCACCGCCAGTCCCCCATGGTCCTCCACCATACATCCCTGAGCCAACCATTGACACAAATATCGTATTCATCCAAACACCCGAAGAAGGTCCAGGGCCAGAACCTATCGTCATACCTCCACCACAGACACGAAGCGTCGTCTATGTCCTTAACAGACAGAGGCCAGAACAAGCGGAAGTGATTGAAGTCCCAGCGCCGCCAGCAACCAGTCCTGAAGTTTACTTCGTGAACTACGCTGATGGCGAGAACCCAGTTCTTCCCAGTGGCGTTGACCTTCAGACTGCCTTGAATGCAGCTTCCCAAGGAGGTGGTCAGGTGGTTGGAGGAGGTGCCGGCGGTGGTTTCGGAGGCAGCGGAGGTGTCGGCGGTGGTTTCGGAGGCAGCGGAGGTGTTGGCGGTGGTTTCGGAGGCAGCGGAGGAGCCGGCGGTGGTTTCGGAGGTAGCGGAGGTGTTGGTGGTGGCTTTGGTGGCAGTGGAGGAAGTGGAAGTTTTGGCGGTAGCAGTGGAGGAAGTGGAGGATTTGGAGGTAGTGTAATCAGTGGAGGATTTGGAGGTGGCGGCAGCGGAGAGTTCATCGTCAGTGGCGGTAGTGGAGGTGGCTTCAGCAGTGGAGGTTCACCTTCCAGTCTCTATACTACACCTTAGATATCTAATTTGAGGGATTTTATTTTTGTTAAGTTTTGTTTACCACTGGGTCGGTGTTCCAGACCATTTGTACTGTGTTTGTAATAAAATGTCTTAAATAGAACAATGCATATTTGTATACATTTTACAAAAATATGAATACACCCATAGCAACCAAGTGTGTAATATACCCTATATGAATACATACAATAACCAATAACACGATGCCTCATTTCTCAAAAGAAAAAAAAAGTACAAATAAATATGCATGCATATACGTGTAAATATATGTATATGTATAAATAAATATATGTACACACACAATATATATATATATATATATATATATATATATATATGCAATATCAATATATATATGAGTGCAATATATATATATGTATATATATATATACATATATATATATATGGAATATATATGTACACATACACACACATATGTGTGTGTGTGTGTGTGTGCGTGTGTGTGTGTGTTTGTATGTATATATATATTGCGCATATATAAATAAATAAATATATATATATATATATATATATATATATATATATTCATATACATATTCATATATGTACACATATATATTGCGTATACATATATGTATACACACACATACACACACACACACACACACACACACACATATATATATATATATATATATATATATATATATATATATATATGTATGTATGTATTATATATATATATATATATATACATATATATATATATATATATATATATATATATATATATATATATATATATATTGTGTGCGTGTGTGTATGTGTATGTGGGTGAAAGTGTGTGTGTGTACTGGAGTGGCCGAGGTTCGAGTCTTGATCAGTTAAAACACGCTACAATGTTTCGGTTGGTGTTCATATACATACAAAT